TTATATTAGGTCATACAGTGTGATTGATATCTTATTAATTTAAAATTTTATTTTTCTTAATCAGCTAGTAATAATGATTGAAAACATTTGCCTATATTTATTGATTTCAATTTATAAATTAATAAATATCAACTATTTTATTAGCTCCTAATTATTCTTTAGTCAAGCCAAACAAAGTCAGTATTTTTAAAAACAAAATTGACAAATTAATGTGATCTTAACAAGACAACCATCAGGTAAAAAAGTGTTGTTTATATTGTGTGATCATAACCATAGCTTAGAATAGGAGTTCTATAATTTATCATTTCAATGTTGAACCATATACAATTACAGGCATTTACTTGGCCTTTGCGTAATGGAAGCTGTGAGTCAGTAAATTGCTATACACTCTCCATTGCAGCTAATTACACTGATAATGAAGTAATTATACTGATCTCTTATGACGTAAGGAAGATATGTATATGTATGAAAAGGAAAGAGGGAAGGAACAGATTTATATGTATGAAAAGGAAAGAGAGAAGGAACAGATTTATAGGTAAAAACCAACATTTAACCTCTCACCCTACAAAGTTGTTAGATTTTAGTCCTTCATCTTATAACATGACAAGCTCTTTATTTTACAAAATTGGTAAGTTGTAGCCCATCACCTTACAAAGTTGGTAAGCTTTAACCCCTTATCTTATATTATAATATTTTAAACTCCTCATCAATACGAATTAAAGAAAATAGCCATCACCTAACATCAAGTTATAACGTTCTGTTAGTTTTGTTAGTTTTGTTAGTTGACTGTTAACATCCGTTAGCATTCCGTTATAAAAAAATATAAAATTTAAATTTAATTTTATTTGTTAGTTTCATTAACGGAATGTTAACGGATGCTAACAGTCAGCTAATAGAATTGACAGTTAGCTAATAAAATTAATAAAACATTATAACTTGATGTTAAATAAATGTTATTTTCTTCATTTCGTACAGATAAGGGGTTAAAAGTGTCATAATATATAAGGTGAGGGGTTAAAATCTATCAACTTTGTAAGATGAGTTAAAACCTATCAATTTTGTAAGGTAAGAAGTTAAAACTTACCAATTTTGTAAGGTAAAAAGCTAAAAGTATTATATTATAAGGTTAGCAGCTAAAAGTTGGTTTTAGCCTAGATTTATATGTATGAAAAGGAAAAGGAAAAGGAATATATGCATTCCTAATAATCTCATAAAGAGAGGAGAATACTAACAACCTGTTAGTTTGAATGGAAGGAACTTGGTTTCCCTTAAGGGCATGTTTGGTATAGTAGTTTTAAAGTAGCGGTTAGTGATTTTACCTAAACCGCTAAATATAAGTGTTTGGTAAATTTATATATTTCGAAACCGTTACAAATAAAGTGTTTGGTAAAATTTTTTTTTTAGTAGTTTGAGACTAGCAGATAGCGGATAGTGGTTAGGGTCTAAACCGCTAGCGGATTAAAAATTTTTAATTTTATTGACAAATTTATCCATTTTAATTTTTTAATTTATAGTCACATTTTTTAATTAATAA